TTTTTTTTTTTTTCATCATTCTTTGATTCTTTTTATTCATGACTTGTTGCTAGCGTTTTCTGTGTTCTAGAACTTCTTTATTTTGGTTTTAAAACAATCTTTGAAGGGAGCGCGGGGGGCAGTGATCTTGGGGATTTTGTTAATCAGTAAGGAAAAAATTGACTTTATTCCCCTTGATTGGTCAGTATACAACATTGCTTGCACAAGAGGTTGTCCAGAAGGACTTGGTATATGCATATGTTTGTTAAATCAAAGAATCTAAAAGTATTTTCAGCATATCGCAGTTTGGCAAACCTACAAGTACCAGTATATAAAGCTTTTTATCGTGGTAAGCCTTTTTTTCCTGAAAACCGTCTTTTCTCAGAACGGATGTATCTTGAGAGATAGAAGTTCTCTTCATCCATCCGTGCCACTTCTTTTTTATTTGAGCTGGAAAAGCTTGAATATTTCCAGGTCCATATAGAACAATGCGCATATTAATTCATGAATACACGAAACGATATAAGCGATTGATTGTTATAAGTGGGACGGTGAATGATTTTAATCACGATGGACTTGCAGATGAGAATGAAATTACAGCTGACAGGTTTATTTATAAAACACGGACGACAAGCTAGCGCAGATTTGATGTCTTGTGAAACTTGTGAGATTTGCTGTTGTATAGACTTGCGCAGAATTGTACTTACACTAACTGCCTCCGTAACCATATTACGATTTACTCTGGGATCCGAGTTATAATTTTTTTCACAGTTTTTATTAGTGAAATTTTAAAATTTCTGCACTTTTTAGAATAAAAAGGAGTGGTGTCATGGCCAAAATTCCGACGCATATATTCGCGGTGTTGATCAGATGCTCGGATATGAAATGGACAGCTGACGGCCATTCATGCAAAGATGCAACTCAAACACGGGTTCTGTCATTTGTACTTCCAAACCATCCGGACGATCTGAATTGTCTCGTAAGTTGCGCTTGTATATTTTCAATTAAATTTAATTTGTTTGGCCTGGATTTTTTTGGTTTATTGAAACGAGTAACAAAAAAAAAATGTTTTTCTGGAAAACATGAATTGTTGCGCTTGGCGTCGTAATTGCGTAAGCAAAGAGATACATACCAAGCGCCAAGTATATGTTCCATATAATGCACCCTACTCGTTGTTGGCAGAAGAATGACATGAAAGAAGTCTGTGAATTATCTGAGATCGAAAAGTTAGATTTGGTTGCTGATAACACTGGCGTTTCATTAACAGATTGCTTCCTAAATAAAAGTTTACGTCCATTACAGGATGTGGAAGAATATTTGCGTACAAACACAGCTCGTGTTCGTGATATTGAATTACTCACCGGTCTTGAGTTCTTCACGTCACGGTCACGTTATCCTGAAACCGTTGCTTTGAAAATGCGTACGTACATTCAAAATGGGATTTGGTCGACATAGTGAGCCCTAATTGAATATCTCATTTTCCAAAAATTGCTAGAAGTATTATTTCGGTTCGAATCGTTTTGCCATTCATGCTCCTCTGTTATCGAGTTATTGTAATAAAAATATTTCTGATGATATATAAATATGTAAAATATTTGAAAAAAAAATATATTACAAAATGAACAAGTGAAGAGGAATGATGTTCGGTCTGTTAAGTCGTATGCATTCCTGTTCAGCATCACAACTGCATCTCATTAATACAACGGTTGTTGTGTTGGTATTTGGTAATGAAAAGTGGACCTTTCCATTTTGCTTGTTTGAGCCTTCCTAATATTTCTTTGAACTCATGAAATAGAATTTTACACTCATAATTTAACAAACTAAACATTCCAAGATCTTTTCGCTGTTCTGCAGTCCCTAAACATTCCAGAACTGCTTGAAATTGGATTTCAATTTCATAACGCTTCTTTTGTGTAGTCGTGGAAGTCGGTGAAATCTTTGAGATTTTTAACTGGAACTTTTACCTAACTGTTTCGTCACATTAACATAAAGACCCTAATATTTCCATCGAGAATATCTATAGTTTCATTTTGATGTCTGTTGTTATAGAAATTGTAAGCTTTAATTTGGTACATTTTTCTGGTGTTTGTTGGGTTAATTATGCTAGTTTGCTAACTTAATCTTTTCTTGCCTGATTTTCTGTGGTTGTGACTGAATCTGTTATCTCGTTCGTTTTCGGGTTTTGTGATTGCATATATTATTAATAAATGAGACATGCACGCTCTTTCCTTAAATGTTTTGCTATAACTCTAAACCAAAATCTCTCTCTTAAAGAGCCAGAGTTATTCGAAGATAGCCGAACTGCTTTTAGCAACCACCTGCTGGCAAGCAAAGCAGTGATTTTTTCCCGGACGATCTTTCATTTTTTTCGAGGGCAATGGTTTTTCATTTTTGAAGAACAAGATTCTATTGCTAAATCCGATACGTTGCTCAACTTATCGAAAGAATTCGTCAATCAGCAAAAACACTGGCCAAAATTCATTCGGCCTGCTGGGTTGGTGATCAAGAGAAGTCAAAATTTCTAACAGAGAGCAAATTCGCGGACGATAAAATTGCTTCTGTATTAAAAAAGAAAAGTAGACATGAAAGCGAGCTTCGACAGGTGAGTCTGTCCAGCAGCAGGTTGACTGATTTCTAATTCGCTACTTGCTTTACTCAGAATACTACGGATGGTATGGATTTATTGGGTGATGACCCTGGTCGTAATTTAGCTGACGTTAAAGCCGAGGAGCATAATTTTATGCTTTATGAATTTTTATTAGTTGCAGTGTGGAGAGACTGGGCAAATGCAAAAGTCGTCACAGAGCGGCAAATTTACCTTCTGAATATTCGGGCACTGAGCCGCGGGCAAAATCGCCTGGTGATGCTCGTAGTCCTTGTTTTTTATCTTAAAATAATTACCGAAATAATTATAATGAGAATTAAAGGTTAAAAGAGAATATAGGAGAAGGAAATGATGGAAAGAAGAAATGGATACTAAGATAAGGGATATAAAAAAATTGGCCAACGCACGGGCTGCCCGTGCGAAGATGCGTTTTTTGCAGAGTTCCCCGC